CCTTCGGGGTAGGTGTGTAAAAAGGAGGTGTGACAGTAACGACGTGACTGCACCAAAGCGGTTGTTACATAAAGTGGCACATTTTGTCATTATGTAACGACGGGTTTAAGATACAATAAAATTTAAGTAACAATCAAAACAAACATCGTATTTAAAGTAACAGTACGATACAATAGGTAACAACAATCCAAACAACTATTAAGGGGCTTAGAGGACGATTTTATCTTGGCCAAATACATAGGCAGACCCCTAAAGTTGTCCCATTTTTTCATTTAAACACTTAAACTCATCCTAGTACCTAGTGAACACATAAACTCCTAAAGAAGTGTACCAATTAGGCACATTTTGCTGACATGTCAGAATATGTGTTCTACACTCTCTTTGAGCGCGTACATATCTAAAAAATGGTTAATTAATTGTCTTTTCTCTTTCTCTTCTTCCGTTATTTTGTTTCCACTGGTTTTATTTTAAGTCGCATCCACCTTGCCGGAAAATTTCTTGACCAACAGCAAGTTCCATGGCTGACCTTCCAAACTCGATTCTCATTTCTCCAACAGAATCAAGATTATAGCATAAATAATCTAGTCATTTACTCCTTTTAAACAACTATAGACCCTTCACCACTGTCATGCCCGAGTATTACTCACTAACCATTTTTAGGGTCTCGATGAGGTATGGGGGTCTGGAATTGAGGTTTACCATATCCCCCTACCCCCCCCCCCGCCGAAAAAAAAGAAATTCTTCACATAAGTTTTCTTGTCTCGAACAATTTCTTAATACCAGTATTTATCAAGCAAGTCGAATATGATTTAGAAACAAGATCTGCAAGAGTAAGCAAAATGGGTCTGCGATGACTTTTTTCAGATATGATTTAGCCACCTAATAAGAAAGAATAACAATAAAACAAAAACCAGAACAAAAGAGGAAGAAAGAAACATTGAAAAGAAAAACAAAATAGAAAAGAAGAAGAAGAAGACGAATGGAGATGGTGAGGGGAGAATGAATTTTATCCGCTAGCCTTTTCTTTTTTGTTGATTTGACACGTGTCATTTACTAATTGGTTGGCCTACCACATCAGATGCATTTGAAATTCACGCACTTCACTTTGTTTGGAAATGTAAAATATGTGTTTAATACAGTGGCGGATCCAGAATTTTGTGCAAGCGGGTTCAGTCGGAGAAGTCCATAACTAACATAAGCGGGTTCAAAAATAATTTCTATACAAAATTTACCTTGCTTTAGCCATAATTTATACATATACACAGTATTATTTTTTGACGAAGCGGGTTTAGTTGAACCCACTTCTCACCACTTGGGTCCGCCCCTGGTTTAATAGACACACTTCTGTTGGAGTTGAAGTGTCTAATAGGAACTAGTTTTAGTTTAGGTGTCCAAATGAAAATTGAATCCAAGTTTAAGGGTCTGTATATGTATTCGGTCTTTTATCTTTAACCATGCTAATACATGCATTAATAGCCTTGTTTGCATTGCATAATATTTAAGAAAATTAGTTGCTTACAAAAGTGCCCTCCATATTCTTTAGCTTTAAGGGGCTTAAAGGATAATTTTGTCTTTAACCATGCTAATACATGCATTAATAACCTTGGTAATGACATTGTCTGCATTGCATAATTTTTAAGAAAATTAGTTGCTTACAAAAGTGCCATCCATATTCTTTAGTTTTAAGGGGCTTAAAAGGACAATTTTGTCTTTAACCATGCTAATATATGCATAATAGCCTTGGTATTGGTAATGACAGAGTTTGCTATGTATTATACATAGGATAATACCAAATAAGTTGTTTAACTAACATTAATAATACATAGGTTGAAAAAGAATACAAAAAAAAAAAGAAGATTAGAATACCAAAAGCTAATGCATGCATTACTTTGTCTAATGCATCTTACCAAACGACTTCTAAGTCATAAAACCTTTAGGGCTCGTTAGGTATCAGGGACAAGGAATAATTAGTCTCGGGACGAAATTTAAGAAGAGTTTATCCCATGTCTGGTCGGGAGAAAATTGCAATATAATTAATCCCGAGATTAAATATTCCGGGATTGTAGTATTTTTTTTATCCCACGGAAAGGTGGAATAACTAATCTCGAGATTAGTTATCCCGGAATAACTAATTACGGGATAACATCTTTCCAACCAAACTACCCCTTAGAGGTACAACCACCTCCACTCCTAATGACATCGCGGGAGGGAAGCTGGTAAAAATCAATGTTTTAAAAGGCGAGGGCGTGAGGCGAGGCATTTTACCTCTGACGAGGCGAGGCGTAAGCACTGAGACATGGGGCATAAGTCCCACGGATCTTTAAATATTACTAATTTCAAGAATTTTAAGATAGTATAAAATAAAAAATAATTATACAAATTACATTAAAATCACAAAATTATAATAAATAATTTATTTAAAATATTTATAAATTATAATTCAACTATGAGTAATGTGAAAAGTATAACATATATCATAATATGCAAATTAGGTGCAACGTTGTTACAACTCAAACATCAAAAGTTATGTATTCGATGCGAAATCTTATATGTCTCTTATGGAGTAATGAATCTTGAAAGAATTTCGATATTATAATTTGATATTTTTTAAAAAATACTTCTTTTATTTAATATGCTTTCTATTTGAAAGAGAATTTATATAAAAATATAATTCACAATTTAAATATGATTCTCTAGCATCATTTATTTTTAAGTTTCAACAAGTTAGTAAGTGAAACATAATTCATCATACTATACCATGATACCTAATTATTTGTAAATANATAAATTGACACATAATTCACCATACCATGATAACTAATTATTTGTAAATAGTTACTAGTTAATACTGAACTATTAATAAGTATTGTATTTCGTAAACGTGAAAAAAATAATATTTACAAAAATAATTATAAAAAAATTATGGACTATTATATAATAAAGTCATAACAAAAGTTAATAAATAAATACTTTTAAATAAAAGATTTATTTAAAATTTACTATTATAGCAGTTTTAGTGGATAACATGCAATAATTTTTATTTTAGTTATGACATAAAGTATTCTCAACTTAATGATTTATGATTAAGAAAAAAGTAATTTTGAATAGTCAACGATTTATTAAGAAAATTTGAGGACTTACAAGGTTAGTCGCACACAATTACATAAAGTTCTATTAGGCGAGCCCAGTACGTTGGGCGTTGGGCGTGTCCGGGGCGTAAGCCCCGGCGCCCGAGGCGTAAGTCTCACAGAACTAAGCCCCACACATAAGCCCAGGGGCGTTTTACGAGTGCTCCGTCCCATGGCGAGCTCCAGGCAAGTCCCAATTCTGCCTTTTAAAACAGAGGTAAAAATCACAAGATAATCTCCAAAATCAGAAAAATAAATAAGTAAATACGTGAAAGCTACCTCAAATGACAAAGGAATTCGAATAAATTCAAAAATGGGCACAAGGGATTTGAATTAATAACTCTCCAAAATTAATAGTAGAATTCAAAATTTTATCTATATAAAAAGGATTGGTTTTATGCCATATAAGTGGTGGGGGAAAAAGACTAGAAATTTTCTTTATATTATGCTCGACTCTCGAGTTATAGATATCGCCATTCTACGAAAATTTGTTCCCTAAATAGAGGCATTTGCAAAATTCATAGAAAGTACTTTCTGCGTTTTACTTTGTTTGGCAGTAGTTTTTTATTTGTTTGTTTAAAAAAAAACTGATATATTCCTATATTTTTTTAATAAGAAGCATTTTATAGCAACACAAGTAGAATAGTAGATGACAGATTTATAACCAAGGACTTTAAAATTTTTATAGCTATACAATATCACAGCTCACTTAAGATCACAAAATTTAAAAGTCTTATTTTTTTAATTAAAATTTGTACCAAGTGGAATACAACAAATAAAATGAAACGGAGGAGATAGTTAGCACTAACACAGAATAATGTTTATAATAAAGCTAGGAATATGTAATTTTCATCCGGATGAAAGAACATCATGCAACATCACAATCGAACTTTTTGTTTAGTGGTTAAGATTTATGTTCTGGATAAAAAGTATACTTATCTTTTGTACAAAAGAATTTATTCGTGTCCAAGACCTGCATCAAATCAATAAGTATATAATATGTTTATTTAAATAGGCTTTAATAATACTTAAATATTTAAATATTTTTATGTTCACCTAATCACAATTAGTTAACATTGTTTGATGCATCCATGATCCACCACATTGGATAGGTATTTTCTTTTCATATTACGACAGGGGTGAACGCAACCCTTATCATCAAATATAATATTTTTGGCACGAAATATAAATAATTATATAAATTAATTAAAAGTCCAAAAATTACTGAATTAAGAATCATAAACAGGAATACAAGAAAAAAGGATTCACTCTTATAAACATTCTTGAAAGATGAAAACATCTTGCACACTTTGAAGTTTAAATCTTAGTAAGCGTTTGGACATAAATTTGATTGAATTGTAAAAAAGAGTTTTTAAAGTTATTTAAAAAAAATTTGAATATTAAAGTTCTGTTTTCATTTTACTTGAAAAATAATTGAAAATTTGTGAGGTGCAAAAGAAATTTACCAAAAAACCAGCACAAACCAATTTTTTGGTACTTGAAAATTTTCTTCAATTTTTTTTCAAAAACTGATTAAGTATATTTTATGAACATATAATATTTTTAATATTTTTTGAAAAAAATAAAAAAAATTCTATGTCAATAACGAGAGCTTAAATTCGTTTTTCCATTAACATATGGTCGATGTTTATTTTTGAAAAAATGATACTGTATAGCCGCTGTATAAATAATAGTGAAAAAATGCATAAATTTTTTATATTTTTTTGTGTATATATACATTTTATATTTTATATACAATAATTATACAAGTTTTATATATTTTTTTAACTATTAAATATAAATAATTTCTGACGCGGGCTAAAATTAATAATACCCCTTTATTTTTCTCCTAAATTTTCCTTGTGCTAGACAGGTGTGACTCACTTACCGAGCTATTAAACTCTTTTATTGGATAGTGGAATAAGAAAAACTTCTTTAAAAAAAAAAAGGCATAACAATCGGAGAAGAATAATTAGCCGCGGAGTCAAGACCGGTCCGCCGTCGTAAATGGACGGAGTAGGGGCCAGACTAGGCCGGTCATCTAACAGGTATGCGCCGACGACAACTGTATTTACTGGGCCGGTTAGGAGGTGGAAGAAGAAATGGATCCACGGAACGCCGCCTAGCTCCGGCAACAGCAACCGTCCAACTGCTAACGGCGGCGTTAACGGCAGTAACGGCTCTCATCTCTTGCTTTTCAAATGGACACCCATTACTTCAAGCCAAAACAGTCACGGCGCTACTAACAGTTCTGCTAAAGATGACGGCTTCATAGCGGAGGAGCCACCTAAGCGCAAATTCAAGTACATTCCGGTACTAATCTGACTAATTACTTCTTTTAACCTACAAAATTTTGTGTGCGTTATCGGAGATGAACTTTATCTACTGTCTATTGTATATAGTACTAAATATAAGCACACTAAACAATGTTGAGCAATTTCAACGAGCTATTATTTTTCTGTTCTATTTTATTTTAGTGGGCTGTACTCTTTCTTATGCTCTTCTATCGGGAAAAGATCAGATTTTTCCAAGAAGTGGATTAGCTGGTGGATGATGGTTAGGGTTCTGGGTTTAAGTATGTTGCGTGTCTGTGTATATGGGTTTCCTTGGTGGGCGGAGTTACTTGGTACGTGTGTTGGTATGTTGGTGGGAGGTAGCTGTTACCTGATGGAATAGTCTGAGATGCGCATGCTGGTCTGTCCTAAACTTTTTTTTTATATGTAGTGGGGGTTTGGAAGAACTTGTAAGCTAAGGAGGATATAGTGTTACGCTTTGTACATAAAAGGCAAAGAAATTCAGTTCATGAGACCATAGTTCTCTGGAGTGGACAGCCTTAGCTAGATCTTGCTAGTGCCACCTAATAGGAAGGTGAGGGAGTGGATGTTTGGCATTTGGAGTTGTCTTGCACGTGCACACATTGGTTTCACCTCGACCTGATAAGTTCACACCCATTGTCATGAGAGAGTAGTTAGGTATAGTGGTACACTACAGTCAGCGACTTAAAATGCTTAATCTGCCTTACTATTGGTTAGATATTTGGGAAGAAGATGAAACTCCAGTTGAATTTTTGGGAAGTGAGGTTAAGGGATATGTCTAACCGCAGGACTGATATGTATAGTTTTTGATTAAAGATGAAGCGAGTGTTTAGCTATTATGTCCTGAAATGTGGGAAATTCAGAGTTCTTTATGGATCTTTAGTCGGTTGGGGAACAAACTGTGGCACAAGAACCATATAACTACTCTTCTATGGTGCAAGTTGTTAATATAAGAATTGGTGGTGGCCTGAATCTCTGATTGACTTTTATATGCTTTGAAGTTGTAGTACCATCTTTATCGGTAATGAAGTGCTAGTTTTTATAGACAACCATTTTCCCTCTCCATCCCACCAAAAAGATTCTGTTTTATCCCCTTGAGAAGTATAATTCTCCCTTTTCACCTAATTTAGCTTGACTCGTCTACGTATGACCGAATCGTTCGTTCTTTTACACCTATTTGTTCCTCCTTTTCCATCGTGCAGATCCAAACATGACAGAAGGCTGAGTACTCTTAAGACCTCATACTTATTAAATAGAAGTACTCTTAGACTCTTTTTTTTTTTTGACAAGGAAGAAGTACTCTTAGACTTCCTTATGTTATTCTCGTGTGCTGATTTATTTGGTGTGTAATGAGGAGATTAGCAAGATAGCGGCAGAGCCAGTGATTTAAAAAAAAAGTACTAGAATGTCATAGTTGGTTTTTGAATTTATGACCTAAAGCAACTTTGAACACCATTTACCACTACACTACAATATTCCCTTATTATTAAGGGCATTCAACAGTTTATATATGTAAAAAGAATAATTTTCACCCTATTTGTGCGCTATAATTTTTGACGAGAGGGATTCAATCGAACCCCCTTTCCTTCCCCTACCTCTGCCTCTGTAGCAAGATCTGGAAACAGAGAAAAATGTCAATGACATAAGTTGGCATAAATTTTTGAAACGTTAGGGGGGGGGGGCAGTTTTTTTTTTGGGGTGGGGGGGGGGGGTAAGTTTGATACCTTTGTTTTCAATTCTCTACTTATATCGTTAATCATCCTTATGTTTTCCGGTTGGATTTTTGAGCCCTGGAGAGCCAGTCAATTAAAGGATATCTTTTTAGATAGTTGAAGTCCATATTATGCGATTTGCTAGGTTGCCACCTACTGCCTAGGCAAGGTCCTTTCAGTAACTTCTTGAAAACCTTCACAGACATGCTGAGATGTTTGGGCACTTGTGCCATTAAAAGGGGCAAGACAATTTGCATTCAATAACTTTGTTTCATAATTATGGACATTCTCAGTGTGTCTCGTGGATACAAAGAGGCAATGCCAAATCTGATCTTCTCTAATTGTGTGTTATGCTATTTCTTATATTTCTTTCCTTCAATCAGATTGCTTCTTGTATGTCAACAAAGATAATCAGATTGGTTTGTGCTGTGTGAGTATACTTTTTCATTTCTTAAAATTGGTCGAGATAGATTAACTTGCTTGAAGAACAAAAGAATGACGCATCAGAACAAGCTGAAGATGATATTAAACCAATTGAGAGTGACACAAATAGTGAAGAGCCAACATCTCAGGCAGATGGTTATGATGAAAAACCTGACATCAACGACATGCCCATGGAAGAGATTCAGGTACTTTAATATCTTTGTGACTGCTGTATGAAAATTGTGGGAAAAGAGAGCCAAAGGAAAAAAGATTTAAAAAAAAAATTGGTATAGTTATTTGGTTGTTTGCATTTTCATTTGCTGTACGAATGGCTTGGAGCTTTTTCAAATGAGAATTGGAAGGTAAATGACAGTTGTAGGTTCTATCATTTTTTAAAGAAATTGAATTCACGCTATGACTTCATACAGCTAATATTTCATTCATTTGGTTCTATTTTTTTTGTTCTATTTGATCATTGTTTTTTATAGTGCTTCCCGATCTGCCAGATTTTAGATTTTTAACCTTTTCTCCTCTTTTTCTGTTTGATGCCTTTCTTAGCTTCTCAGGAAGTGTTTTTGAGAAAATAGGTCATGATTTCTCTCCCCTCACTCGTTTTTCTTGTGTTTGAACTTTCATTTGGTTATACACTCCTGTTTTCTGGCTCCAAACGCAATACAGATTTCATGAGTCTAACGATGAACACACGAGATAATGTGCATGAGTGTCTGAATTGTGTTTTTGTATTTCAGGCTCCGCAGAGAAAACCTCCACAACGACAAGACTTAAATGAAAGAACTTTAGACTTGTCTCTGGGTTAGACGTTTCACGACGAAAACAATTCTGACTCAAAAACAGATCAAGCAAAATTTATTCAGTCAGACAAGTGAACTCCAGGAGCACTAGGTCATAATGGGTTTTCCATGTAATATTGCCTTGTACCAGTTGAGTGACTAAACTGCCTTTGTCTTCCATCATGTTGGCTTAGGGTGATTGTATTCTGTAGACATTGTTTACTCTGTAGAGGATTCGATTTTTCCGGGGACTATATAGAGGAAATCTTTATGTTGTTGTATCACAGTGAAGTGCTAGAGCGCAGTCCATGACGTGTGTGCTGGACGCATGTCACCGGCTGAGGCAGACCCATGATTTTAACACGACGAGGGCACCACTATTCTGTTCAACCTTTGCCCCCAAAGACTTTGTGTTCAGGGTGCCAAGTGATTTAAATTAATCATTTTTAAGGTATTCACACACGCATATACGATTTATGCTGAAGTTTAGGGGCCGTTGACCCCTCAAGGTTACACATAGGTCCTTCTCGTGTCAACCAAGGCATAACCTGGTGGCTCAAAAGAATATCAATGCGATGAAGTCCTCCACGAGTACAAGTATGGAGTCTCACCAAAAAGTGTCAACATAAAATGTAGAGCCGTCCTATCCACATGGCCCAAACTGCTCAGTTCTAGTCCCTAAAAACAAAAATAGAAATGTGGCCAAAAGGCCTAAGCTCAACATGCCTAGTACGAATCATGAACCGTTCCCCAAAAAAAATAGGACAAGACTTAAGAAAATATAAGATATGCAATAACAATTGATATAAGAAAGAAGCAATTATATCAATTAATAATTTAGAAAATAAAATAAAATAATAAGGGAAAACATATTTCAAAATCTTCCTTTAGCATTAATCTTTACAAAATCATGTTAGATTTTTCGTTTACCGGGAGCACTATACCATCACCGACACAGAAGAAAGTCAACTAGGTTGTGTACCTAGCGGCAAGTATCATATCCCCTACTTGTTCAGGTTGTCTCATCGTTGTGCTGCACGAATCGACTCAGCCATGCTAATAAAGTAGCACAATAGTACCCCCTCATGGGAAGTACTCTGCCGTAGTTCCGAACCGTCAGGTAGGTTTTATGCCTACACCGGCACGTAGTTTCATGACCTAATGAGCAAAAGTATCCAAGATCAATCTCGGTGAACTTAAGTAACTCCCAAAATCATTACATTTATCAACGATGATGTTCATAGCCAAATCAACCATTTGAGAATTGTTAAATATAAGGTATTTCAAAACTCATGTATTTTCATTTCAAATAATATTACAAGTGCTATTCCTCCATCATTTAGGTTTAAAATTAAAATAAATATTTCAAGAAAAAAATTATTCATAACACTTAAAGTTTTTATGATGCAAGAAGTGGTACAATCCCAACTCGCTCGTCCCCACAAGCTAGGACTCACATTTGGAAATTTCTATTTAATCGTGTTTCGATATGATTTTGGAGAAAAGCTCCAACGGTAGTAAGTTTCAATGTACCTCAAATTGCTTCCAACCTTACCCCAAATGTTCCAATAATGCCAATAAGTCAAAATCTACATATACGAACTCACATAATTCAATAACGCGTCACAACATGTCACGACCCAATTTAGGATCGTGACCAGCGCTTAGGAGCAAGTGCTCCCAAGTAAGCCTTATCGGTGTTTTACAAAAAAAAAACGGACAGAATTTTTCCTGTTTTTGGACTATCCAAAAAATTTCCTGTCTTACAAACAAGTAACAACCAACAAATATTCACCTAAATCAGTCACAATCTTCATCAACTAACCACAAATGGGTTTCCACCAATATTACCAACCTCCTTAACATAATAAAACCAAAACCATCTCTAAAAATACGAAAAGAAAGTTTAATACTAGTAACTAGTCCATATCAACAAATGAATACTCACGATACTAGTAAGATAACGATGGAGAAACTCTAAGAGTTCAAAAGAAAAGACTATAGCAAATAAATAAAACTCTTCGCCCACCCGAACAAGTGCGAGGCTCACCAAGAGCTCTCAACCTGTGCGCTCTAATTAACGAAATCCTCGCCTGCGTCAACTGCTGTCTCTGAAAAAAATAGCGGGGAGTGAGTCGCTAGCTCAGCGAGTAATAATACTTAATCACAACCGTTTTTAATTGGGGGACAAGTCAGAAAACATGCTAGCATATTAAACTGAAATTATCATAAGAATGCCCTTTCAGAAATAATAAATAACTTTCAGTCTCATCATATTTTGCATGTAATATGATTCAATTGACAACTCTGTAATAAGCTCGGTAGACACTGTATAATATCAATATTCATATTTAGGAGGTTTCAATGAACGGATCATGTAATCGGTATAACTGTGGGCTTCTTCGCAAGAAGTAAAATATAACATATTCCCTACTCGAGGAAAATCAGTAACAATATGCTAGTTCTACCTTCCCACTAGCGAGGGCTGTAACGGTAAATCGGTAATTACAAGGTGCACCAGGTCTGACGAACCCGCCGTTAGCTACGGGATCCTTCAAATTCTACTCCCATTTATACTTGTCTCTGTAATCCATATATACTCATAGGAAAATATTTTAAAATACTATAGGGCATTTCGGTTCTTATCAAATCATGTAATTTCATTTCGATAACAGTAAATTTCAAGTACCGGTAAAACATATCTAGTGACATCAAGAATATTTAAAACAACGGTAATCATCTCAAATAACTATTTCGGTATTATATCGAGTAAAAGACTTGTCCTCGCATGCAACTCAAAATAATCGGTAACATATTCATATAAAAAATCATGTGTAAATCATGCAAGTTATGAAAACACAAATTGCGGTAAGATTACCACTCACAGTACTCGTATCGAAATACCAAACACTTCACCTCGAGCAATCCGTACTACTTCCTTCACTCGATATATAATCACATCATATCAACCTCGTGTCAAATTCTAGTTTAAACTAATTCATAACTAATTTAAAATGCCAAACAATCGGGGTTCATGTTGAGTCTTAATTTGTGGATCTATATTTACTCATAAAACTATTCCATTATCTATCAATTTCAAATTATTTAGTATAATTTATTCCTCTAAAATTAGACCTATCAGTGCTTAAACCAAACCTTTATAGCCTTACTGTCCGTATATTTTTTTTAAAAACAAATTGATATTGAATTCTTTTGTACTTCTTGAAATCGCATAGATATAGTAAAATAATTCAACAGACGATAAGAAGAAGGTTAACCTCTTGAGCCGAAGGAGAATTGCTACTTTCAGTTCCAACTGCAACATCTTCTTAAAGCCTCGGACCAAAGCTTTCTTCTTCTTCTCTTTTTCCTTTTTCCCAGTCAAGGCTTACTGTTAAAGCCCATCTTTCCAACCCCTAATTTGATTCCTTAAGAAACAGATAAGGTTTTAGACTTCCCCCTCCCCCCTTAATCAAATTCCCATCCCAGGTTTTCTCGGCACTTTAGCTTTTGTCTTCTTTTGTTTTACTTTTTGATACTTTTTAGCTAAGGGATTTTCTTGTTTTAAAACCCCTTTTATGGCTTCGTACTCGACCAGATGGGCTGAGGCCCACTAATTGCATTCACTCTTTATTTTATTATTATTTTTTTGTCTTATAGTATTTGATTGCTATATATATATATATATATATTATTTTTTTTTGCAAATTCCTTAACTAATTATTTAATAAGGGATATTACATTCTTCCCACCTTATTAAATTCGGTTCCTGAATTTAAATCGAGTGCATACCTGTGGACTGAAATAAGTGAGGATACTTGACTAGCATAGCCTCTTCCACTTCCCATGTAACTTCTTCAACTGTATGATTTCTCCATAGAACTTTTACGAACATAATTTCTTTTGAACGTATTTTTCTTACTTGCCTATCAACAATAGCCATCGGCTCCTCCTCGTAAGACAACTTCTCATCAAGCGATATAGTAGGTGCTTCAAGCACCTGAGATAAGTTTGATATACATTTTCTTAGCATTGAGACGTGAAACACTGGATGAATAAAAAACAACTCAGGAGGAAGTGCCAAACGATAAGCCACAGCTCCCACTCGGTCTAGTATCTCATACGGTCCTATAAACCTCGGGCTCAACTTGACTCTTTTCCCAAACCGCATCACACCTTTCATAGGAGAGACTCGTAGGAACACTTTGTCTCCAATTGCGAACACTAAGTCTCTTCTTCTCTTATCCGCATAAGATTTTTGTCTGCTTTGTGCTGTAAGCAATCTCTGTCTGGTCAACTGGACCTTGTCCATATCTTTTTGTACTAAGTCATGTCCCAATAAGTTAGTCTCACCAGCTTCAAAACCATCCGATTGGAGAACGACATCTTCTACCATATATTGCTTCGTACGGTGCCATCTGAATACTGGATTGGAAGCTATTATTGTAAGCAAATTCAGCTAAGGGTAGATAAGCGTCCAACTACCTCCAAACTCAAGAATACAGTCCCTCAACATATTCTCCAAGATCTTTATAATATGTTCTGACTGCCCGTCTGTCTGTGGATGAAATGCAGTACTAAGATCTACTTGTGTACCTAATGCTTCTTTGAAAGATTTCCAAAATCGTGAAGTAAATTGTGATCCTCTATCAGAGATGATGGTACTGGAACTCCATGAAGTCAGACAATTTCATTCATAAATATCTATGCATACCTCACTCCACCATATGTAGTCTTCACTGGCAAAAAGTGTGCTGATTTTGTCAATCGATCTACAATCACCCATACAGAGTCATAACCTCTAAGGGTTCGTGGTAGCCGCTAAAAAAATCCATAGTAATTCTTTCCCATTTCCACTCCGGAATCTCAATTTGTTGTATTAGTCTTGCTGGTCGTTGATGCTCAGCCTTGACCTGTTGACAAGTCAAATAACTAGAAACAAAGTTAACAACATCTTTCTTCATACCTTCCCACCAATAAAATTGCTTTAGGTCATGATACATTTTTGTGGATTCAGGATGTATAGTGTATCTAGAGTTGTGGTCTTCTTCAAGAATAGCATGTCTCAACCCATCTACGTCTACTACACATAGCATGTTACCCATTCAAAGAACACCATTACTTTCAATAATCATATCCTTGCTTTTACCAGCTAATGCCTCATCTCTGTATTTGCATAATCGCTCATCTTTATATTGGGTGGCCTTAATGCGCTCGACTAATGAAGACTGAGCCCGAACACAAGCCAACAATGCCTTTGAATTTCCGACACTAAATATGACGTATGTATCCTCTAGTCTATGCATATCTTCAACCAAAGCTCTCCTTGCAGGAACTATATGTGCCAAACTTCTCATAGATTTTCTGCTCAATGCGTCAGCCACCATATTGGCTTTTCCAGGATGATACAAAATAGAACAATCATATTCCTTGAGTAGTTCCATCCACCTACGCTGCCGAAGATTTATATCCCTCTGCTAAAAAATGTACTTCATACTCTTATGGTCAGTATAAATCTCACAAGTTTCACCATATAGGTAATGCCTCCAAATTTTTAAAGCAAATACCACAGCAACCATCTCCAAATCATGTGTAGGATAGTTTTGCTCGTGCTTTTTCAACTGTCTCGAAGCATAAGCTTAACGCGATCATTTTGCATGAGAACACATCCTAATCCCACCCTCGAGGCGTCATAGAACACCGTAAATCCTCCGAAACCTGATGGTAAGGCCAATATTGGTGCAGTTGTCAAACATGTTTTGAGTTTTTGAAAGCTCTACTCACATTAATTCCTTTGTCCACTGACACTTTACATTTTTCTGTGTTAGCTTGGTCAATGGCGCTGCTATTCTGGAGAAATCCTGCACAAAACGCCTGTAATAGCCTGCCAAGCATGAAAAGCTACGAATCTCTGTAGGAGAAGCAGGTCTGGGCCATTTCTGCACAACTTCTATCTTCTTAGGATCTACCATAATTCCATCTTTGGATACAACATGCCCCAGAAATGATACTGAGTCCAGCCAAAATTCACACTTTAAGAACTTAGCATAAAGCCGATGTTCTTGCAATGTCCGCAACACAATCCTCAAATGATTCTCGTGTTCACCTTGGCTACGAGAATATATCAGGATATCATCAATAAATACTATTACAAATCTATCCAGAAACGACTTGAGCACCTTATTCATTAAATCCATGAATGCAACTGGAGCATTAGTCAGTCCGAAAGGCATCACAAGAAACTCATAGTGCCCGTATCAAGTTCTGAAAGCACTCTTAAAAATATCTTCATATTTGATTATAAGCTGATGATAACCAGAACGGAGGTCAATCTTTGAAAAGTGGGCAGCTCCTTCTAACTGATCAAACATGTTATCTATACGAGGCAAAGGATATTTATTGTGTATTGTTATCTTGTTCAACTTCCTATAGTAAGTGACATCCTCAGAGATCCGTCTTTCTTCTTTACGAACAATACTAGTGCACCCCATGGTGATACACTAGGTCTGATAAAACCCTTATCTAACAAATCCTGCAATTGTTGCTTTAGCTCTCTCAACTCTACTGGTGCCATTCGATATGGGGGTATCGATATGGGTTGTGTGGTAGGTGGCAAATCAATACCAAAATCTATTTCTCGTACTGGAGGCAATCATGTTAAATCCTCAAGAAATACATCAGAAAATTCTCTCACTACTGGTACATTTTCTATACTAATTGTTTCCTTTCTTATGTCATTTACAATAGCTAAGATGCCCAAGCAACCTTTCTTCAGAAGTCGTTGAGCCTTCATAAAAGATACAACTTTGCAAATCTCTGGAACCTGACCCCCTTTTAGAATAAAACTGGGTTTGTTTGGTATCTCAAACTTAGCTATCTTTGTATGACAATCGAAGATAGCATAGCAAGAAGATAACCAATCCATTCCCATAAGTATGTCAAATTCAATCATATCAAGTACAATAAGTTCAGCCAGAGTATCTCTACCCTCAACCCGAATCTGACAAGCACGATACACGATTTCAGCTAATAGAGACTCTCCAACAGGAGTAACAACTAGAAAAGGATCATTCAATAGCTCAGGTTGTCTACCAAACCTCAAATCAAAGTACGAGGACACATAGGAGTGAGTATATCCCAGATCAATCAATGCAAGTGCATCAAATGTACAGACAGAAAGAATACTTGTAACCACAACATTCGAGGCCTGAGCATCCTGTCTAGTAAATGCAAAAACTTTCGCTTGACCTCTACCAGCATTCCCTTGTTCTTGATTCACAGTAGCACGATCTCCAGCACCTCGACCTCTGTTTCATGTACCTGCAGCACCTGAAGTATTGCGAGTAGTCTGAGTAGGTGCAGCTAACTGGATAGAAGCTTGGCTGAAATTCCTCGGAGGCTGAGGGCAATCCCTCAAGTGATGTCCCAACTGGCCACACCGAAAGCACTCTCTAGTCAGAACACGACACTGGCCCAAATGTGATCTACCACAGGCCTGGCACACTGGAGTAGTGGCATATGTCTGCCGAGAATTACGATATCCAAATGATGATGGTCCCCTAGTACCCTGTTTGTAATGTGGTCTGTATGTGGACTGTGAAGACAAGTGTGTCCCGGTATGAGAAACCTGGTGCTGTTGTCCCTGATTTCCTGCTCTGCGATTTTCACTAAAACCGCCATAGATCCTTCCGTCTTTGCCTTCTTACGTAAATCACTAGCTGCATACTCATCACGTCCCTTGTTTTCAATCTTTCTAGCAAGATCGCTGCATCAAAGTAGGACAGAGTCTTCATCTGTGGGGCTACTGCAGTGTATAGACGACCAACCAACCCATCAACAAACCTCTAAACTCGAGCTTTCTGAGTAGGCACTAAGTAAGGAGCATATCTAGCTAGATTACAAAACTTAGTGTTATATGTTGACACATCCATATCTGGAGTCTGAACCAATCTCTCAAGTCTCTAGCATATTTTTGCCTTAGGCTGTCTGGAAGGAAATGATACATGAACAACTTACTGAACTCGTCCCATGTCAGTGGTGCTGCTCCTGCTGGCCTTCCTAGCAATACAATTTCATACCAAGTGTTGGCCATATCCTCTAGTTTGTATGCTGCGAGCTCCACGACCCTCTCACTAGAACATCCTAGAGCACGTAATGCCTTGAGTGTCCCATCCAAGAAACTTTGAGGATCTGCTGAATTATCAGAACCTGTGAATTTTGGTGATTTTAATTTCAGGAACTCTTGCAGGGATACCTCCTTATTCTTGAAAGTTTGAGTCTGTATAGGTGCTTGTGTTTGTAAAGTAGCCTGAGGAGCTGAACTTCCACCCTGAGTAGGTGATCGGTGCCAACCCTACACCACTATAGAGCGGCGATAGCGGTCGATGCAGCTTTTACCCGAATAGGTCGGGATCGAATCCACAGGGAGCTAGATTTGGGAATTGGTTTCCTATCTAAACTAGCAGTGTGTAATGCTCTTAATTGCACTTCCAAATCATAGTTGGTGTTTTGATTACTTCTAATATTATGCTAACAAGATGCT